TGAATGATGATGATTATTGGTCTGAGTTTAGTATAGTTATGGACTAGTTTATAATAACCATGTCTGTGTTTAAGTCTGTCATCTCATTTAATAAAAGAAAAGGGATTCTCACTATAGTAAAGGGTTTCTAGCTACAGTAAAGGGATTCTAGCTACAGGAATGGTTGTGATTAAGGGTTTCTAGCTACAGTAAAGGGATTCTAGCTACAGGAATGGTTGTGATTAAGCACCATATTCCTAAAAGAAGATTACTACAATCTACAAATTTACTCCTCTTTTACAATTCACAAGAATGTTTATTTCAGAGGTCTATGTCATTGAGATTCTTAAATATTAAACATTGCAATTCAAATCTTAATATTGAGCATTGAGATTCATTTCTGAAATATCAAGCATTGAGATCCTTTTCCTGTATTTTTTTATTTGAAAGAAGAGTAAATTTGATATTATAAGGTATAACAAAAGCATGACAATTTTCCAACACCTACAACAAATTACCTTTATCATCATTATTTTTCTTCCCTACTAATAATAGAATTTAATTATTTTATTCCCAATTGATTATTTCAATAATAAAATCTCATTTTTTATTCCCTACTTAATACTAATAGTGTCAACAACAAAAATTCATTATTTTTATTCCCCAATTTAAACAATACAAGTTCATTATTTTTTTATTTCCAATTGATTATTTCAATAATAAAATCTCATTTTTTATTCCCTACTTAATACTAATAGTGTCAACAACAAAAATTCATTATTTTTATTCCCCAATTTAAATAACACAATTTCATTATTTTTTTTATTTCCTATTGATTATTTCAATAATAAAATTTTATTTTTCATTCCCTTCTAATAATATCAACAACAAAAACAAATTTCATTATTTCCGGTTAATCATTTCAATAATACAATTTCATTATTTTTTTTATTCCCTATTGATTATTTCAATAATAAAATCTCATTATTTTTTTTTTATCCACTATTAATTATTTCAATAATACAATTTCAATATTTTTCTCCTTGCTAATATATCAATAGTAAAATTTCATATTTTACTTCCTTACTTATAAATCCAACAATAACTTTCAATATATTTTAAAACCTTAAAACTTAAAATGTTAATAATATAATTTCCACCTAGCTAATAAATGTCTTTCAGCTTTTGCTTTCAATATTGAACAAAAAATTACACATTCCTTAATAATAAATAATTCAAGAAGAAAAAATGATTTAATAGTAAATTTAATAGATTTCATTTATGTATTAATTAAAATGAAGTTTTTTATGCAAGTTTTATAATGTCTAGTTCTCACAATGCAACTTATTACCAACTTAAAACTAATCAAAGGTCAAGCATACCCTAGAGCATTGTCATAAAATAATAAAAGCAATTTAAAGCTAACACAATTCCTCCATAAACTACCCATGAAATTTCTATTTGATCTAGCATTGAACATTAAATAGTTCTTAAAAACTAGAGGCTGCAATTAACAATTGTTTTGAACTGCAGAAAATCCTATTGAATTTTTCCCAAAAGCAAGAAAATTTATTTTAAATATGACTATAAAATTGTAGAAATATTCAAAAAATGTTCATCAATTTTCAGTTTAAAAAATGACAACAAATGAACAGATAACTAAACAACAAATATTTGGGTTTGTCTATAAAAATATGGGTTTCCGACAATACAAATACATTAACAACATGTTTCAGTTTCTGTTTTAATATCTATAATAAAATAATGTTAATATACTTTACTTACATGAATCACTGTCCTCTTCATTAGATTTATTACGTAAAGCGACGGCGTTTGATTTAGCATCTAGTTCAATATGTTTGTCTCTATTATCTTTCAGATTATTCTGACTCAGGTTAATGTCGATACGGTTCCCACTGCTAAAATTAATGCTGTAGGTGAACAAATGAAGGAAAAAAAATAATACGCAACATGAAGTGGTTGAAATAAACAACAAAAATAGAAAATAAAAACAATTTCTTCAAACTTAAAAACAACTGAGGAAAGAAAATAAAAACAACTACTCAATTTTTTCAGAGGAAAATAAACAAAAAAGTCAACAATTTAACTGAAAGTGGCAACATAAATTATAAACAAAACAAAACAAAATACTGAAAAAACAAAAACAGTAAAGCCTCAAAAATCAAAAATATAGATTAAATCAAGAAAAGATAGCTCCCCACTGGAAAGTTTACAGGCAAGATAACATATGCTTATATTTCAGCATTGTTTGTTAAAAGAAATATAAAAAAAAACCCTCATCAAAAAAATGTTCACTAAAAAAGGTTTGTACTACCATTTTCACTTTAACTTCAACACATGGAGTATTTTTCTAAGCTTTGATGGGAAAAATGCATATATTAAGAAGGCAAAGACTATAATTCACCTTTTTTGGAATTCAAACAGACTATTCTTAGTTATAGTAAACATTATGCCATATGAAGAAAAATAGCTCACATTAACATTACATATTAAGTGCATCCTGAGTGGTGAAAAGCTGTTCTAACAAGTTTCATGAAAATTTATAATAAAAAACAGTGCTATCTATGACAAACTAAGACACACGGGTAATGAAAATATTCACTCATAAAATTTCATGTGAGCTCTCAAATAATTTCAAGACATTTTCAAACAACCTATTTGCAAATTTAAACTTGTCGATTTAAATTATTGTATAGAGATAAATATTTTTTTACGTTTTTCAAAGAGACCATACCAAAAATAAAGAACGCACAGTTGCCAATGATGTGCAAATTGATGAGAAAGATGAAAATTAATAGAAAGAAGTGAAGGTGAATTAAATATACTACACAAGAAACTACAATCATTTATATTCAAAATCATTACTTTTTGATTTTTTGATAAAATCTTTATNTAAAATTTATTCTGTCTCAAGTTTACAAAATTTTAATATTTAAAGTTGAATATTCATCAGCTTATATTTTGCTTGGAAAATTTATTTTGAAAATTGCTGAAGAAAAAGATAAAATACTTACTAATTGAAGTTTCCAGTTTTAATATCTTCATTATTTTGAGGTGATGGTGGACATATATTAACTTGTGGAGCATGATACTGTTCAGATATTTCTCTCTCATATTCTTCTCTTCTCTACAATAATAGACACATGGTGCAGAAAAATAGGATGTAAAACTCCATTCATTTCATTTACAATAATAGAAATTATTTCCCTTTAACTACAGTTGAATTTTAACCTCGGATACAGTCCTGGCGTGGGTATTCACACAACTTCTGGCATGATTCAAAAAAATCAGTCGTATTTTCAAGTGAATTCTTGAGAACTCAAGATTGTATAGATCAGAAGAACAAACAGGAGAAAAATCGTTCATGTCAGTTCCCAATTCACCAAGAGTGAAGTCAGTAACTGAGTAAATGTAACAAATTTTGTTTTCATCAATTACATTTGAATAAGTTTGTTTGTCAGAAATGCAAATCTGTTAGAAATTGTAATAATTCAGTCCTAATAATGATATACAATAATAACAGTTTGAATACAATTTATATACTATTATCTATTTCATAATATACAAAGAAAGTTCAAGTGTGGCCATTTTTGTCTTGCTGTTTGCCTCTATGCACTAGTGTCCCATTATATTAATGTAGTTAAATATGTGGCCATAAACAATCTAGTGCTTTGGCTGATATAGTTTCAATATAATTTTAAATTTGGAATGCTATAAAAGTGAGTTTAATAAAATAATTGAAATATGGAAATGGTTTTATCATTAAAAGCAAAATAAAATAAGCTTTTCATACCACTGCTGCCTCTTCTTCTTCTTGTTCTTCTTCAGCAGCAGTCAACTCTTGAGCATTGGCCAAATTGTCCACAGCGATAGCCAAGAATACATTCAGCAGTGTATCTTTAGTTAGTTAAGGATTTTATGATGTTCAAATGGATCTCTTGTACTTACATTGATTATAGTTCATCTTATGGTGTTGACACAAAAAAATCTATACAGAAAAATTGCATTGCTAATACCATTTTGGAATTTTTATCAAATTAGGACGAGGGGACTATATCATTACTAGTCATTAGAGTGTAGTCTAATTATTAATCATTATTTACAGTAAAAGGATACAGTTACCAAATAGCACCAAAATAATAAAATATAAACTAAGAAACATTCCCTTTCCATCAGAACCACCATAGGCTCTAATACCATTATACATTACTTCATTCCAATCTTCACCAGTTAATATCTATAACAACAATAATACCAATATGTTCAAACAGTTTAAGTGGTAGGGGTTGAGCCATTTCACTTTCACTTAAAGTGATAGTATGGGGTAAGTTAAAGAGTACATTTAGAAATAACTATATCATATTCTGAAAGACTTAAAATAAAGCCAATGTTGAAACACCTCAAAAAATAAGTTATATTTGACAAAGATTTGAAGAACCTATTTCAAAGTACAAACATAGATCACCAAATAAATACAATGTCAGAATAACTTTAACATAGTTATGTTTTAACTGTGCATCTTTAATTTGGATGCTGCATAGCTACATTAACTATGACCAACCTGAAACACTGTTAGTAATGCTATTGTAAAGGTATCAAAATTACTAGATGGTCTCCCTTCTTCAAAATTCATCCTGAAATATAAAGAATAGAACTATTATATCATAAATATAACATAACACATCTTGCTTGATCAGCTTCAGAGACACACTGAGAGAAACAACAAATGATATCTGATGTTAAAATTATGTCCAGTTATTTACCAACATATTATTATACATTATGCAAAAAAGGTGATGAGAATAGAAAATTCTACAATTATATTTCTATATCTAGAAGGGTTTTAAAAAGAGATTTGCTGCATCTGGGAAACTCATAGTTTTTATGTGCACTATCCTAACTTGACCACTATCATAGAAAGCATTTGACTTGAATAATATTTGAATAATATTGTAGGAACCATGGACTTTAGATGAGGAAATTAGAGAGAAGCTTTAGCTCTACAACTAAATATTAAAAAAGAAAATGTATACTTACTCTCCTCCAAACAGCTGCATTCCCAATAAGGCAAATATAAGGATAAATAGAAAGAGTAGAAAGAGTAAACTAACAATAGATCTCATAGAGTTGAGTAATGAGATGACTAAATTTCGTAGAGACGACCAATATCTGAAATAAAACCAAAAATTATCTTAATATATGTTATATAGTGACAACATAACGTTATCATAACTCTTATAAAGAGCATTTTCAGTTTACAGACAATAAGAGTAAATGACAAAACATTTTTGTTTGTAAATAAATAAGACGTACTTGGTAACTTTAAATATTCTAAGTAAACGTAAAGCTCTGAGCACACTAATACCAAATGATGCGTTTTTAAACGTTGACCATATGACTTCAAATATACTACCAACAATAACCTGAAATCAAACCCAAGATGGATATAAATTGTTGTCAAGTTATCCTTTGAACTTTTTTAAAAACCTTCATCTTTGAATAGTAAAGTGTCAAGTTTATTTGATTTAACACTTTCATATACCTGTAATCAACTGATAAATTGAATATCTATTGTTTTTACAGATCTATCTTTTTAAAATGAAATTGATGAAGTCTCTATCTGTCTCAACATTTGTTCTCCTATCATATTCCACGAAAACTTTATTCTGAACGTACATAAGTATAATATACCGTATATATATTTCTGTATTCTATTGGTAATTACGCACATCATTGATATAAAATATAAAATAAGATAATATACGTACTAAATATGTTAAATGATGATTGGAAATAAATTCGAGGTCCAAGACCATACATTTCNAACATCATTTCTATGATAAATAATCCTAGAAACACAAACTCAGCTATAACTGAAATATAGAAAGGTATTTAGCACTTTAATACATTGGGCAGACTTTAATTTTTTAGAACTTTGTCAATAGCATGTCTAGTTCTAGTTTTCATATAGGTCTTGATAAATTAATATCCATTTATAATTTATGCCCTAGATGTCTACTTACATAAGAATTCTTCATGCCATGCAGGTTGACCATAATGTTCTGATGCTACACAAGCTGTATTTAAAAACACTAGAGTTATAACTGTCCAATAAAAAGCTTGGCTTTTAATCATGTGACGGATTTTATATCTGAAATAAATTGGAAAAAAAGCATCAATTCATGATTTTATTTGTACTATTTGTAGGATTAGATCATTCAAGAAAGAATGTTGTTTCAGACATCTTTTTCATTTGTATTTTAAATAAGAAATAATTGTTTAAATCAATTTCACATTTTTTCTTCATTAAACACACCTTATTCTTTTTTCTACTTTCCAAAAGGTACCACATTTTCCTGTTGTTTTCTTGGAACTTTTGGTGCGACTAAAAGTGTTTCCTATTGTATTGTATTTTCCTATAGTAACACCAGCTAATAGGTCATCTTCCATTGTTTCATTAGTATCATCATCAGTATCTTCCCCTTTTAACTGTTTCATCTTTCTTGCTGCTGCTCGCCGGCGTGCTGAAAAAATATTAAGGCTCTTGATGCCTTGCAGGGAGAAATCAGGTTAGGGCTTGCTGTAGTCATATCTTTTTTCATGCAGTTAGTATCAATAATGTTAGTGTTGCATGCACTTTAACTTTGAAAATATCTATCTTTGCTTTAGAACTGTACATTTATGGCACAGTTGACTTGCAGTATTAACCAAAATTTCTCAAATTATTTACCAAGCTCAGTTCCAAAATTGAGGGAAAGTGACACTTTATCCCTTTCTCTTTTTTGATAAACCTTTTAAAACGACCTTTCATCCATGTTAGTCTTCTTTGACTGGCATCATTGTAACAAAGGGTAACTAAAAAACGTGAAGGGCCTTCACTAGTCAGCATATTGAAAGTAAATACAAACTCATTGTTAAATTGGCTGAAAACAGACCACTGAAAATCAAACAAACCTTCAATAATTTTATATTTTTCTTCTTCTGTTGTTCTATCTTCAGTTAAAATTACTTCCTCTATGATAATATAATAGAATCTTTTAGTTTCTTTTATTTTATTTCACTTCCTTTCAATTTACTGACATGTGTCAGTTTTAATTCAATTTTCAACAGGAAAGTAATTCAACTTATCAAAATTTTCTTTAGCACATTATTGTGTGAAAGAAGACAGGCAATAATATCATGCAGTGTTTACTCAAAGATCATATCTGCCTGTTAAGGAACCAAGCAGCCTGTCTACAATTTAACTTAAACATTTCACACTGGTTGGCACTTAATCTTTGAGAGAAGAAATTTCTATTCAGCCATTGTTAAAGTTAGAATAATATACTGAAATCAAATCAGGATATTGCCTTCCATATTTACCTGCTTTACATATCCACTCTAAATATCCATTCAATTCTCTTTCTATTTGTTGCTGCCGTCGTAATTTAAAAAACGCTCGACGATTTTCTACTCTTTCTCTTTCTTTGGCAAATTCACTAGAAATATATAATTAACTCATAAAAACTTGTTTCATTTAGAAAGGAATGAATAATTCATTTCAAAAATTTGGTTTTTACTTTTACACTTGGCATCTTTCAGTCATCAAATTTCAGACAGCTACAGGGATTGTAGAGAAATTTTCTAAAATTGTTTGTGTATCGGGGACAGTGATAGCTTCGGTTGAACTATTCCAATTTCTATAAAACATCTGTGGTTTTTTACGACACTATCGCAAAGATCCTTATATATCACCAGCAGCTTTTGCGATAGTGACGTCATAAACGCTTACTTTTAGACGTCTGTCTGAACAATGGAACAATTAAATTTTTAGAAAACCTCTATACAATCTCTTTTATGGCAACCAAAGTTTTTTTTTTATGTGTATCTCTGATTCAGATTTCCCATGTGACATCTTTGGTTCATTTTTTTTTTTAAATTTAGCAAAATACTCCAATGCTAGTGTTATGTTCTTTGCACTGTCAAAAGATTTTATGTTATATTAAAAGCCACCTACCCACTTAGAACACCAAGAACTAGATTTAACATGAAAAATGAACCTAACACTATTAGAGGTATAAAATATAAATAATTGAAAATGCTTCCTAAGGCGTCGTTTGCCTGAAATATATAAAAGACATCAGTAACTATAACACAATTGAGAAATAAATAAACTAAAATTAAAATATTCTTTTTTCACCGCCTAGTAAATGCCACTATAAACAATACACATGTTAGCATTGGACACAGGAAGACTTCTCCCTATAGCAACTCTTTAACAGGTGTACTCCACACCATTGAAGGTCTTTCAGTATTTGGATTCCTTCTGGCACATTTTCCAGATAACCCATATATTTTAAACACCTCACATAACATAATCACATATCTTCTATTCACATCCTAATCCTGATTTTTTGCACAATTTGAAACACTCATCCAATATAATAAGAACTAGCCACATTAAGAGTCCCTTGAAATGAAAATCATTTGGGGGGTTTTCTTATTTGTTTTGAATGACACTATTAAATCAAAATCATAGCAATTAACCAGTCATTTTTGAATAATTTTCAAATACAATGATTTTTATTCCAAGGAACTCTTCAACACATTGCACTTTTACTTACATAATACAAAACAGTTGTCCACCCTTCCATAGTAATGCATTGAAACACAGTTAACATTGCAAATCCTATATGATCAAAACTAGTTATTCCAGAGTTCGGACCTTTCCAATTCCCGCGACATTTTGATATATTCTGTTGGCAGCGAAAACCACCATATGAACTAATATAAAAGTCTAAAGCACACGGTCGTATATCAGGTTCATCACCTAAATGTATATCACCTGAAAAAGAACAAATAATTGACATAAGAAAAACATGAAATGAACATGATGTTTTTTAAAAAATCTGAGTAATAAAGAGTAATCTGTAGTCAGTATTTATAAAAAGTCTGATTTATGTTGATGAAATTGTGTCTTTTTATATCTCAATAGGAATTATTACATTCTGCTTTAAGCATGCCATTAGACATCTTGCAAATGTTATTTATCTTTTATGATAAATGAATCTCAAGAAATCTATGGAATCTGATAGTTAAAAACAATTACTTACTTTCACTATTTGATGTTGTACCAACTTCGAAACAAGCATTATGAAAAGCACCGGCATAAAATTCTAGTCCAACTATAGCAAATATTATAATGGCAAACAAAACAAGTAAACAAACTTGTAACAATGGGGCCATAGCCCTAATAATAGACTTTAATACAACTTGTAAACCTGTAAAATAAATAATTTGTTTTATCTATTTCATTTATTTTCACAAGAAATGTTTTTGATTTAATATTATTCTTAAAAAATGTATATTACAGTTTCATAGAAGTTTATTTCTCAAATTATATTTAAACAATAAAAAAATGGAAATTGATACATGAAAGTTAATGTACATTAATTATATGAACAAGATGTAAAAATAATAATTGTCTTATAATCCAATGATTTTCAACTTTTAGATCCGTTCATTTGGCTTAGATGTAAATCATGATTTGAAATCAGAATCAGTATATGAATTCAACTGCTTCTGTAATTTGATGCACTTCAACCCTTTTTATAATGAAAATTGACACAGGTATCAAAGAAAAAATTAGCAATGAATTGTGCTATAAATATTGAAAACCGTTTGTAAAGAGCAAAGAAAAAAATCGTTGGATTGTATAGACTCAAACCTACTTGGTATGCCTGATACTAATTTTAATGGTCGTAAAACCCTCACAGCTCGTAATGTTCTTAAATCAAAAGAGGAAGACCAGGTGGAAGCAAAAAGGGTAATGAACCTGCCAGGAGAAAAAAAGGTAAAAATAACAAAAAACCAGGGCACCAATGGGATAAAATGTAAATAATAATGACAATTTGTGTTTAGATTACACCAGTGAAAGTTTTATTGTACTTTCTGCTTTTAAATTTTAAATTTTTTCTAACATAGTCATATTTAGTCATAAGTAGAAAGGTTTCAATATTCTTTACTGGTATGATCTTTAGCTAACATCTTCACAATAACAAAAAACTTTGCTTTTAGTTTATTGGAATTCTAAATGTCATAAAAATCAAAATACTGCATCAATATTTGATTCAAAAAACCCCCTGACATTCAAGTAATAAAAGCAAAGTTGAGATATTGTTATTGTCTATTTATTATAAATAATGTTATATTGATTATCACCAATATTCCTTCACCATTAATCATTAGGAATGGAAACCAAAACATCTACACTTGCTACTAATGGTATTTGTAACAATCTTTTGCATATTCTAAGTTATTTTCATTGAATTTGATTGAATCATGAAAAAGGGCTATTGATTAGAAAAGTTGTCTGCCATTTAAACTTGAAAATCAATCAGTTTGAATCAATCAGCATGCATTTGTGTTTACTGCCTTTTTTATGTTTACATTAAAATTAGGGCAAAAAAGTATAAAAAATTATTTTTTATTAATTCCATTTCTATAGGAAGGAAAGGTAGTGTTTATATCCATCAAATGGTACTAATTTGTGTTTCAAAGAGTAATCAGGTTTTGCTGAAGCTAAATTGTGCTTGGAATAAAATTATCTAAATCAGGATTTATTTTAAGATTATAAAAACAGCGTGAAGCAGTGAGGTTTATCAACCTTTTTCCATGATCAAAAGCAATGGGTATCTTAATAATTGTATATCAGCCTTGCTTACTCTGGATTCCTGTCACTAGTTTTAAAGGTCTTAAAACACGTAGGCATCTTATAGCTGGCTGGTCAAGTGAAGGATCTAATAATTCTATAATCCTGCCAGAAAAATCATTGAAAAGTATGTTTATTTCACATATAAGGATATAATCAGAAAGCTAATCTTTCCTAACTGGGATCAACATCTAACTAAAATGAATTTTCCCCACAATTCACCCCTGCACCATATTCTATGGGAAACCATGGGATTCTAGATTCCTTCCACATGTCTTACTCTGTATTCCTTTGATTAATTTTAAGGGTCTCAAAACTCTCAGAGATCTTATAGCGCCCTGGTCTAAGAAGGTGAACAAAAAGCCTATGCACCTATAATGTAGATGGCACATATTATAAAAAGCACAAACTCAGTAGGCCTATCAGGTGGTTTACCTACAACAGGCTGTAAGGTCTTTATTCAACTTTGTTTTGGAAAGAGTTGTCAGTTTCATTTAACATATTCACAAAAATAGGTAATTACCAAAGAACTGTTGAATCACGATACTGACAACAATCCTTTATGATGTATTTCCTTATCACCAGTCCACATTTTGCCAAGCTGGCAAAATCACCTCTCCCCTCCCCTCCCAAAACACTAAAAGTGTAATCATGACATATTTTGTCATAGAATCATTCTACGAAGTTAACGCCGATGTATATTTTCCAGAAATGCATATAAGTTTATCAACAATAGTAATTCTAAATTGACATAACCATAATCTAAAGTTTCAAATAAAATTATTTGAATTTTGTAAAAATTTCCACTTTTCGACGCCATCTTTATTTTCAATGGAGGGCTTTAAACGCCTTTATCAAAAGAGAGCTGGTGAAAATATTTGTTTTAAACAAGCGAAATAAGTCAACCCTCTTTATCTAAATGTGTTTAATTTTAATTTCATTCTATTACTTTTTACAGAGATCCATTGTTTCACTTGTTTGTGAATAATATAAGCTGTGTTTACATTTTTATGAGTTTTCAGACCTCTTTAATTAGAAAGCATCTTAATTACAGGAGTTATCTTTCCCTTTACACATTTTGCCAATATGGCTATGGCGAATAATTTCTTGGGATGTCTAGATCGCCCATTTGATCTCCAACAGAATTATTAGTAAAAAAAAAAGTAGAAGAGAAATACATACCCGGTGACTACTACTATGAAATCCATGATATTCCACACGTTACGTAAATACGATCCTTTATGTAAAATAAATCCTAGAGCTACTATTTTTAAAAACGCTTCCACACAAAATATTCCAAGAAAATACACCTCCGTTGCTTCCTAAATAATGTAATAAAAAATCATTAATAAACAATTTTCAAACTTTCCATGGGGGTCATTAAGAGAAAATGGATGTCGATATTAGTACATTCAAGGTTCACCTTGGATAAGTGATGAGGCAAAAGACCCATATTTCACATCACACATTGTTTTAAACAAAATTGAGATTCAGAGGCATTCAAAGAGTCATAAAACAGTAGTAAACCAGAAGATTTAATATTCATTATATAGAGTGTTATACTTACTAACTGTACAGCAAGCGGAGTCTTGTCGTGGGCAGGAAGATGTTCCTCTAAGGCTAAAACTATACAGTTGGCTATAATGGTCAGGAGAACCATATATTCAAATGGCGTAAAGTTGAATTAAGGAAAATTTATAAATAAAAGCATCATACAATTTTAGGTTTAGGTTATTCTAACATTCACACAACATTCACAACTTTTGCAACATAAAAACAATTGCCTCATTTACATTCATGTGATTCATGTTTTAACAGAGTTGTGACTTTATACTATTGGACAATATCAATAAATTAAATATTCGCAAGATGTAATTTAAATAGTTAACTGTGGCGAAAGGAATGATTTTCAAGATAAGGTTAAAGCAGAATAGTACCTATCATCGAAGGTAAAACTGCATATTTTAAGGTTTTGAAGTAAAACACCCAAACTTATTATACATTTAGTTATTTCTGCAACTATAGTGCCCCATTTCAGCAAAACTGCTTGACACAATGTCACCTTACTGTGGTAAGAACGTTTTCCCATTGTGTTGAAATTGAAAAACCTGAATTGAGTCTTTGTGGGTGACATTTGGGAACAATTATAAGTAAATACAAACAAAACAAATCCCAAGAAACCTGTTGATCATTGTGTAGGAGGATTCACAGCTTGATAAATTAATAAAGACCAATTGACGTTCGGTTCACGCCATTTTGTTTTGAATGCTGATGAAAATAGAGAAGCATTAAGAAGTCAGATACCATTGGTGAATAAAAACAAGTTTTTCATTGAAGTTGATGGAAAAATCAATAATCAAGTCAAAGATCAATTTGTGGTTATCCAGACGTCTGGTAAAGAGTAAAACAGGCAGCAATTTTATCCCGTTTTTAATGCCAAATCGCTAAGAGGGATATAATTTTTTCCCTTTAATCTTAAACTTACTGATGTCTGGTGGAAAAACGTAATAAGCTCTATAATTTTATGAAACCTCAGAAATGTCTTCGAGTTCTACAAGATAATCAATTTTTACAGTGTTCTTCAAGCAAATGCGTCTTAATGAAGATCTGCGAACGATGATCCTTAGCAACATCCCTAACCATACTTGTTGCATAATGAGCGACCATAGAACTAAATAGACAAATTCAAGATCTGCATGTTTCGCTTACAATCTGATGGATGTTTATGTTTTGACATAATAATATAAGTTACCACTTCTGAAACGAATGAAGTTCGTGGTTTTATAAAGATAATACATCGTATTTGAAAGATCATGTATGTTACAAAACTTGTTTATCATGTTGCTATTGAAATGAAGATAAAGGACTCCTTAGGAGGTTGATAGAGGAATGGTCATATAGTAGAAAGAGGCAAATTTTCAACAAAATCTCAAGAAAAAAAGAATCATCTAGAAAATATTGTTTGAAAGTACCAACGTAATTACATGTACAGCGTAATGTAAAACATCTTGAAAGATTTAAAATTAGGACATACATCCTAAAAATTTCCAGATGAAAAAAACATTATATTGGCTACAAAATGCCATCGGAAGATGTCAGGAACTTTTATTCTGGCATCGTAAAATATTTCTATGAAGAAACTAAAAGTAATTTATATGATAAATAAGTGTGGGTGAAATAACACAGTATTCATATCTTGTTTCTATATAATTAGTATACATTAAACTGTACTTATTTAATATAATCCTTAGTAATTCTCTCATTACGTTAACATACTCTCTTATCAAAATAACAACATAATTCAAGGATATCCCTTATGTTAACATATCCTTTTATACTCAAAATAACATAGCAAGAACATTCATTATTCAACTTTTCCCAAACATCGAAATAACGAATGAAAACCCCCCAAAACACCCATATTACCGATACAGTAATCCCAAGAACAATGATTCCCAATACATATAGGCTAACTTTTCACGTAACCAAATTGGTTCTATCCCATTATTGATATTCCTATCGAACCATTAAATATATTCAATCAAATTTCTACCCTCAATCGACACGATGAACATTGTTACTTATTCGGAATTCTTAAAGGTAGATGATTGATATGTTGCTCCGTGTATGAAAAAATATATTTTTATATATATATATCAAGGTTGACTTTCAATTAGTTTCAGAAACATTTCTGCTGATCTGATTTCTGGTTTTAATAAATGACCGTCTGGTGTGTTTTATGATATGAATATCTTAATTGTGATAGACTGTGTTATTCAAGTGATATCCTGTACAGAGACGTAATATGACAAATAACTGATATGAACTGGCAATAATCAATATTTCACTTGTTTATATTCAGTTAGAATTTGTAGGAGGAACAATATTTCACGTTATGATTGATGAGCAAAGGCAATCCTTCATTTTCCAGGTTTTTAGGTTTAGGCCAAGCCTTGATTTTCATCTTTTTTAAGGATATTTTTTGTCTCTTAGTGTATGCTACAAGTATGGGGTTACTGATTATGCATAAAGAAATAATGAAATCACAAAACTGCAATTTTAGAGCATGAAATCCAAGTATCCTTAAACTATATACAACTATGTATTGTCATAATCAAGAAATAATAACTAACAATGACATACTCTAAAATGGAATAGAATTGAAAATCATTTAAAATAGAAAGAATCCATTAAAAAAACAAACTTGAAACATATCTTGTCTACTACAGTGATAATTGAATCATACTCCTGTCAATTATGAAGTCATAAAAAAGTTGATTACATAAAGTCAATTTAAAACTGCAATTGAAAATGTACGTAAAGTGTTAATTTGATTTAAAGATGTCAGTTAAAATAGTGAACAATATATATTTTCTATTTTAATTCTAGTAGGTTGTCATTCAGGAAAAACATAATAAGTCGATATCGGCAAAATGGGAGAACAACGGTCCTTACTGAACGTCTGCGGTATGGATTTTTTTCTGAAAATGAAAAGATATTTCATTTTGATTTTCTGGTAGTAAACATAAAGACAGTCGAGTGTTTTATAATTAAAAATAATGTACGATTTATTTTTCTTTCATGTCGACACGTACATAAAGTTGCTGATATAAATTAAGTTCTGTTTAAATATTGATATAAATGTACTGTTATATTCAGTCAATGTGAGGATGCAGCATGAGCGGATTTTAAAAGTATGTCATGTGACTTTACAAGTCGCTAAAATTCCTTGGTTAAGGTTGAACGCCCTGTTAAAAAAATGCCGGTATTAACGCTGTAGTTCATATTTTCAACTGACGCCAAAACTATGACATAAATTGTGTTCGTAGCTGTTGCCATTTTGAATATCAATGAAACATGCAACCATAAAATCGGTTATAGATTGTAATTGCTGCCATAATCATTTTGCATGATAAACATATATATTATCGTTAAGATGTTCTATATAACGTGAAGCTGTTTGTTTGTTTGTAGAATAGCTGTGACTATTGTCTGGAATTCGCCTTTCTTAACATGAACAAGAAACCGAATAGCTGACAAACACAACTAATATATTATAGCCTACAGTGGGACTCAATAATAACCATAGCACACACAAGCCTGGCGGTAGAATATATAGGAAATGTCTATAGGGAATTAAATAGAAACCATGTCGTTTTTTGCCATCGTTGACTATTGATTTGCTTCTAGCTTTCTTCTTTTCCCCAAACTGACAGTTTTGGTGAAGATCGATACCGGCTATATTTACAGACGTGTGTGGTGCCGTGTCGAACTAATTCAGTTTGGCTTTAGGCGAATAGCTGGGAATAAATCAAACATCATATGAGGATAATTATAAATGTACTATAAAGATTCCTAATTTACAGTTTGTATTCTTTATCCAGTCTCAAAACTTTTACTGATTGATCGCTCTTTTTGGAAAGTTACATTATTCTCTAAAACACCGACACTGGTATAAACAACCACAATTCAGATTCGATCATGCTTTCTAATTTCAACCCTTGTTTATACAAACAGGCAGCTTTTAATTGATCAACAGAAACGGTTATTTGGGCAACCTGGTGAGTTAAACTTGTAGTACCGTTCATTTAAATGGTCAATAGTAAAACTATCTCTTCTGTATGACCGCCAATAAATAGCTCCCTTGCATTCTGGCCAATTCAACTAGACCCTCTGTATAACAGACAGTATACCCAGCTTTTCTGTATACTGACAGTAAAATAAGCTCCCCTGTAAGTTGGCCAATAAAACTAGCTCCTCTGTATACAGACCATTAAAATTAGTTCTCTTGTTTACCGACCAGTATAATAAAATCCTCTCAGTAACACCTGCTTCTAGCAATAAGGGCCAGAAAAACTAGCTTCCTATAAATAGCCAGTAAAACTAGCTCTTTATATACTGACCAGTAAAACTAGCTCCTCTCTATACGTGTCATAGCTCCTCTCTATTCTGACCAGTAAAACTAGCTCCTCTCTAATCCGACCAGTAAAACTAGCAACTAGTTGCTTTTGAATACACGCAAGATAAATAAAATACAGAAAATGATATTATTTTTCTAACTTTTATCACGCAACGAAAACACTGTGTGATGTTACAAAAAAGTACTCTGAACAAACGTGTGCTGTCTCGTATACTTGGAAGAATTCTGACACATTATCAGATCATCAGGATAATAAACCACCTATAGGGGGAATTGGGAATTAATACAAAATTAGGTCATTTCTAACCTACTGATTGATAATAGTATAAGAAAGTAGGTTTATTATATTATTGATAGTCTTTTGTTTTATCTATCCCGTGCCCTGCCATCTGACTATACTAGTTTTTCCATGATAAATACCACCTTAGTCAAAACACTAAATCGGGTTTACTAACTGACCAAAAATGCTGGACATCATAGACTTTCATTAATCAAAATACCCTTTTTATTGTTCTTTTAGGATATGATATATGATATTTATAGAGCGGTATCCAATACAGTAATACATGCATCTCCCTTTCATAAACGCATTGTGTTTTCGTAATAAATTTTCATTTTTTCTTATTACATACCACCATGGATTTTCTTGCTGAAGATCAAAGCATTTTGAAGAAAAGTCAAAGAACAATAGATTTTTAATATTCATTCAATAGAACATGAAGGTAACAGACGTAAATCCGCTGTTTATTGTT